TTCTGAACAGCTGGCAGAGAAGCCCGTGGAACCATAAGCCCGCGGATGGGTTCCTCCCAAAAATAGAATGTCAGTTCACCCCTTCAACACCAGACAAATACCGAGGAAGTTGAAAGAATGCCAAAAGCCACCTTGATACAAATAAGCTGAACCGAAGCAAACTCGATACGGCCCACTACAGTAAACTGGTCATCGGGCAACCCTGACGGATCGTTCACACCGAGAACAGCCTCATTGCATTCAAGGAAAAAGCCTCCAGCCCTTGCAATAATTGACCACCATTCGCAGCACCGCGTGAAAAAGATAACAGTAAGAGGCCCAGCCCCAGCAACGCTGAACAAATAGGCCGCCGCCCGTACCCTCCCCACGCGGCATTGGGAGATAGCAGCATTGTAGATGATGGGAACTGAGCGCCATTGTAACCAGCAAACGCCCGAGGTCAGCGAAAGAGAATACCCCCTCCGTGCGGCTCTGAGGGATGGCTGAAATGTAAATGACGAAACCAGTGCCCGCCCAGCCTGTGGGAGCTTGAAAAACACGTGCGGGACAAGGAAGAACGGGAGGACGGCCAGACGGAAAGTGGACGCGACCCGATCTGAGCCCCTCAAGTGCGTCGCTCCAGTGAACAGCATGGGCGCCAAAAACAAATTTCCCGAGCCTGACATCAAGGACGAGACATCATATGTGAGCACCTTCTGTTTTAGTCGTCACCAGCGGCTCTCCTGGAGAGCGTGGGTGAAGTGCCCCAAGCACCGCGCGCAGGCACAGAAGGCGGGCTCTTGCCAAAATGGTCTGAGCCCAAGTTGCTTGAGTGAGGAGGAGGAGGAGGAGGAGGAGGAGGAGGAGGAGGAGGAGGAGGAGGGAGGATCAGGAGGAGGAGGAGGAGGAGGAGGAGGAGGAGGAAGGAGGAGGAGGGAGGAGGAGGGAGGAGGGAGGAGGGAGGAGGGAGGAGGGAGGAGTGGTGGGAGGAGGAGGAGGAGGAGGCGGAGGAGGAGGAGGAGGATGAGGAGTTGGAGGAGGATGAGAAGGACGAGGCACAGCTCTTCACACGCACCTCCAGGAAAATCCAGCAGTCTCCATCTCGCACCAGCACAACTTCATATTGGCCTGGACGAGGAACTGATGAATCCACAAGCGCGGCCGAACAACAACAGCCACTCCACCATGGGTGCCTCCACCTGGGGGCTTGAGAGCATCCTGGAAATACGGGGGCCACTTCATAAGACGACATGTGTTCTTGGCGCGAAAAAAGCTCCAGGTCCCTTGGGATTGTGCCGGGCAAGGAGTATGCGATTCACTTCAGAATCCGCAGCAGCAGCGGCATCCTGGAACAGCTTCGACCACTGAGTGATGTGAGCAAAATTGACACTCACGCGCGTAGCCGCCTGCTGAGGCGACTGGTTGCCGTTATAGAGACGAGGGTTGGTTGGGCAGCCTGAGACACTCACTGTTGGTGAGCTGGCACAGAGTGAGAAACAACAGCACCTGAGCAGGAGGAGGAGGAGGAGGAGGAGGCGGAGGAGGAGGAGGAGGAGGAGGAGGAGTTGGAGGAGGAGTTGGATGATGCGTTGGAGGAAGAGGATGAGAAGGACAAGGAGGATGAGACGGAGAAGGAGGATACGGATCGACAGGAAGAGGATGACGATGAGGAGGAGGGGGCATGTGAGGAGGAGGGGGAGGGTGCCGCCGATACTGCAGCTCATGATGGTGATAATGGACGTGCTCCATGAATATCCGGGATACCGGAGTTCGCTCGAACCGAAGACCTGCCTCAAGTGCCCCCAGTTTTCACGCGGCAGAATTTCAGGTCGTGCGTATCTACTGTGTGCTCGCTTGGGTCAAATCTCAAATCAGCAGCTCGTGACTCCGAGTTCAGGGTGGATCATTTGCCACTTGCCCTTCTTGCGCTCCCTGCCGCATTGCCTCCCATAAGCGGCCGTGGGGACAAATCAGGGGCACACGGTATAGCATTGTTTCAGAACCGTCCTTCAACCTTGCCCAATTGAAGTGGCTTCGGCCCCGATGGAGGCAGCCCTCAGGAAATGGCGCGTCTAAGCCAGGGTTGACTTTGCTCCAGGAGCACCGACCTTGTCGCGCATGGCGGAGAGCTCGCCATTTCAGCTCATGCCAGGATGTTGAACGTCAAGCTCCTCAGCCTACCTCTTCCCTTCTGGAGTCACCCCGGCTCCACTACCTCGCCCCTTCTCTTCCATTCGCGTGATCTTGCAGGGTGTGTATCTAGCCTGGGCCTTTCATACATTTGGTGCTAGCGAACGTCCACACCTGATCCTTCTTGTACATGTTTGGCGTTTCCACGCAGCCGCACGCGAGCTTCGACCCTGCAAGGCTGACCCCCCCTTTCCTCCTCCCTCATCCCTCATCCATCCGCCACTCTCCCCATAGCCATGTCGGCTCAATCAATTATTCAGACTGCCTGGCTTCATGCCGGAGTCGTCGTCATCCTCTTTGACGTCTGGTCGGTCGTCTAGGGGCGATCCAATCCCTGAGACCCCTTGGGAGCATTTTCGTGGCAATGAACATATTCGTGCATGGTTTTTCGGAGCTGTATTCTTTTGTGTGGGTGCTATATTTTTTGCATTCCAGCTGTTTACTGAGTACGGCCTCTGGATCGGATGCGGCTTTTGGATCGGCGGATGTTTCTGCAACATGTACTGTCCTTTGAAGGAGCTGTTCAAAGGTCCGACTCCGTTCACATTTGAGAGGGTGTGCAATGAGTGGTGCTTGCTAGCGTGCATGGTGTGCTGGGTGGTTGGCTGCTCGTGGTGCTTCCTCCCGATGACGGGTGCCCAGTCGGTGTTGGTAGGCCATGTTGACCTGATGTTTTTGATCGGGTCCTCCTTCAACATGGTCCCGCCGATGTATCAGTTGATGCACGACGCTTCGCGTGAAGACGGCTGGACAGGGCAATGTCTTGAATATGTTGGGTATTTGGTGTCAGACCAGTGAGATGTTAATTGTATGCTGGGATGCATGGTTTTGCCAGCGATCATGATGTATGGCAGTTCTTTTTGCCTGGTCCGAGATGAAATACGCACTGGGCAGCCCTCTTCTCCTGGTCCCGGAAGGTGCTGTCTTGTGATTGGCATCCTTTCCGGACCCATTGTCTGCCAGCTTTCTCGCCCCTCGGGACCACATGAAGAGAACACGTTGCCTACCATCTCTTGTGCTTGGAGGCTACCCTCAATGTGCTCGTGTCCCAGTCCGGGGGTCGCGCTGGGCATTCTTTGCTATGTGGGTCGGCATCACCCCAACATACTTATACTGTATGTGCGTCGCCACCCCCAGGGGCGACGCGCGCACCGAGAAATCTTATAGTATATGCGTCGTGGCGTGCGCTTTCTGGCCACACCGCTCGGGAAACGGTATACTACAAGATGGGTATACTATATGTTTGGGTCGGACGCGCGCCTCCAAGGAGGACATATAGTATTAGTATGTCTCTGTGCGTCCCAGTGGGCTCCCTCACCTGGCCGTCCTGGGGCCCCCTGGAGTTTTCGCTGGACCATGCCAGGGCGCCCGTCGCCGCCCAGGGCCGCCACGGTAGGGGGGCCACGTGCGAACCCTAAGGGGGGGGGGCGGGCTTCGCTTCGCTTGGGAGCTCCCGAGCGGAGTGAACCCCGCCCTCCCCCTCTCCAATCGTGGGGGGGTGGGTCCGAGCATTCTCTCTGGGTGGAGGGCAAGGGGTGACATCTGAAGTGCCGGTCCGATTGGTTTTTTCGAGGCCTGCGCCTGCAAGAGAGGTGGATCCCAGGACGGATCGATCTCCAGGGTGCAGAGGCCCACATGGATTCCACCCCCGAGCCCTCCACCCCGAGAACATGCTCAGGGGGGTATGGGGCAGGGCTCGCACGTGGGCCCCCCTGCTCGAGGCGCCCCCGAGGGCGGCGGCGGCCCGTGCGGTGCGGCTGGCCTCCCGCGGGGCCCCCGCGCGGGCTGCCGGCCCGCGCGGCTTCCTCGGGGCACTCCCGGCGCCCCCCGCCTGCGCGGCGGAGGCCCTCGGGCGCGCCGCCTCCGCCCGCGGCGCGCCCGAGGGCCCACCTGGGGGGGCCTCCACGCCCGCCGGCCCCACCGCGGGGCCCGGCGGATCTCGAGGATCGGGGACGTGGGGCCGAGGACCTGGCCGCGGATGACGAGGCCCGCGGTGCCCCCCATGGGCGGAGGGGGAGGTTCGCCGCGGAGGTTCGAGGCTCTCGGGCGTGTTGTTGTTGTTGTTGTGGTTGTTATTGTTGTTGCTGTGATTGCTGTTGTTGTTGTTGTTGCTGTCGTCTTCTTCTTCTTATTATTATTCTTTTTCATATTCTTATTTTTATTATTAGTCGTCTTATTATTCTTCTTCTTCTTATATAGATATGTATATATGTATGTATGTATGTATGTATGTATGTATGTATGTATGTATGTATGTATGTATGTATGCGTGTATGTATGTATGTATGTATGTATGTATGTATGTATATATGTATGTATGCATGTACGTACGTATGTATGTATGTATGTATGCATATATGTATGTATGTATGTATGTATGTGTGTATGTATGTATGTATATCTATGTCTATATCCAGATGCGAGCGATATACGTATGTCTATACATATATGCACATATGTATTTTTGTTTATGTATTAGTTCATTGTTATACCTAGAGATGTAGACATGTATATGTTAACATATAGATATATGTATGTACATTTATGTGTTATGCACATACATATATATATACGTGGAGACCCATTGCACTGTACCGACAATCTACCCTCAGCTTATCGATGGGGGTCCCAAGACGAGCCGTTATGGTTTCAAGACGGTCCCCGAGCCCCCGAGCCGCCCCAAGACCGACCCAAGAGGACCCCCAGGAGGCAAGGAATAGGCGAAACCCATATTTCATGATCCAACAGATTTCGGGGTACTCGCGCTTTCCAGCTTCAGGGACTCAAAGACGGCCCAAGAGGTTCCCAAGAGCGCCAGTGTCAGATCCCGTAGCAATTGCTGCTCAAGATCAAGGCACATTGGTTTGACGCAGGGCGGGCAGGCTAACGTCCCCTACTGGGCAAAGTGCCGGTATTATCGCAGTGATGCGCGTCATTGATTTATCCCAGGTTGTCGTTAAAGCGGAGCTTCTTTGCATTGTCGTCTGTTATGCCCTGGCCACATGCCGTTATGCTCGAACAATTTGGATGAACTGTTGTGGTTTGGCATTGAACGATTTGCGATTGTTCAGTTCGTGTGTTCGCATTATCAAAGGGTGCAAGGGCTTCTTTTGGCAGGGTAGTGGCGCGGAATGCCAAATTGAAGTGCACAAGCGAGCCGTCAGGGTTCATATTGCGCGTGCATTTTGTGGTATAGCTTCTGTGGCAATTCTCGTGTACGTCCCGATGTCGCATTTCACTGCAGACGACCGCCAGCATATTGTGCCAGTGCGGGTGCATGAAGCTTGGTGCGGAGTCATATGCGCAATAGTTGCTGTGTCCCCACGACTGTCGACGTCACGGCTACTTCACGTCTCGTACGCTCTCATTGCGTTTTCAAATGTGGTAACATTGTCACCATTGTTGCAAACCGCGTCTAGCGTTGCTACCCTTCATGGCCACATCATATTTGAGTGTCTGGCCTTTAGCTTATTGGACTTGTACCTTCCAGCGAACTTGATATTTGCAACTGTTTCCTATTTGACCGCCGCGCTGACTTTTCTTGTTGGGGATTCCAGTGGCAGTGCTGCCATCGACCCGCATACACTGGAAGATTGTCTGTACGGTTGGTTCAGTGTTACTATATTGCTTTCGGTTGCAAACGCTGCTCTTTCCAAGGCGGTTGTTGTCCGTCTAGACGGCGAGTCATTTAGGAACGAGCTGCGCGCCGCAAAGTCGATCTTGGCAGGCACATGTGACGCTGTGGTGGAACTTGATGCAGAATTGAGGCTAGCACAGCTCTCTCCGAAGCTCGCGGACCTGCTCATGTTAAGCCCTGAGCGAGTCGCGGGTAACGCGAGCATGTCGTCTCTCCTTGCCACGGAGGCCGACCGCGAGAAGTTCTCCCAAGAGGTAACCTCCAGTACGACACATGATGAGTTTTGCAAGGCCTTTCACGTGAGCATGAAGGATAGCCGTGGCATCTCGGTACCAGTGGAGGCGTTCTGCGTGCGTTTCAACGGCGTCGGTGATAAGGAATCGTTTCTGCTTGGCTTCCGGGAGTTTGTAGACACGGTTTCGCCCAGGAGGGACCAGTTTGTTTCGCCTGGATTGCCCAGTGCTGCGCTGACGATCGATGTCCAAAGCAGGCTGCAATCGCAAGAGGACCAGAGCACAGAACGCAGCAATTCCGAAGATGGATCGGGTCTGACGTCAGCTGTACCTGAGCTTGCCATTTGGTTTGATGTTGTGACGCCAGCGTTCACAATGCTCTGCTGCACGAGTGCCTTGAAGTTGCTTGCTGGTAGTTCTTGGGCACAGATCTGCAAGTTTGAGCAGAGTCTTCTGCAATGCATCCAGCCAGCAATGCGAGAGGACTTTGAGTATTGGGTTCGTTTCTGCGTCGACAAGTCAGATAACAGTGCCAGTCAGGGAGAAGCTGCGCCGCTGGAAGTGGGATCAGTTCGCTTCCGTTTCAGTGAGCATCATCATCGTTTCCACCTCGCCATCGAGAGCAACGTGACGCTAGTCCTGGCCCCGCAAGATCGCGAGGATTGGCCCGCCGGCCTGGGCGAGACGTCGCGCGTGGTGAAGATCGTTCTCGAGAGGCCCAAGTGGATCCAGGGGGGGCACTGGACCTCCACGAACGTCCACACGCCCCTGCCGAATGACATCTCCGTGCTGGCCGGCGCCCTGGAGTCGGACGGCTCCCTGGCGCCGCTTGGCCGGTCGGCGCGCTCGCACGTCGGCCGCCGTGGGCGGAGCGCCCGCGGCCGGCGATCGGGGGGGAGCGCCGACGGCAGGCGCTCCCGGGACAGCGGCGAGCAGCGCCTCGGCCCTGGGGGCCACGGAGCCACTGGCCAGGGCGGCCCCGGTCGCAGCGCCAGCGGCTCCGCGGGAAGCGGGCGCGCCGGCCAGGCGGGCGCCCACAACATCCTGGCCCTGTGATCCGCAGCGCCGGCGCCGGGTGGCCGGGCAGGGCGCGGGCGGCGCAGCGCAGCAGGGAGCCCAGCTGCGCCAGCCCCGCGGCACGGCGAGCAGGCACCGCTGCCCCCACGGAGCCCGGCTTCCGGCAGGGCGCGCGGGGAGAGCGGTGCGCAGTCGGCACCCTCTGCGGGGGAAGCGAGCGCCAGTGCCAGATCTTCAGCCGCTTGGGTTCAAGGGCCACTCCGTCTCGAGACTTCTCCAGGAGGGAAGGTTGGCGCGCTGGCTCACGGGTCATCCGTCCGCGCGTTCACTCGTGCATGCAGCGGCCCGGGCATCGCGACTCCTGCGCGCCCTGATCTACGTGCGCATTGCTGCACAGACAGCGAGCGCAGCGCAACTCGGGGCAGATAACATGGTTGCTGGAGTTGTGATTCGCCCTGGCCCCCGCAAGACTGGCTCGAAGTCCGCTCAGTCTGGATTGCAAGGTTGGCAGTCTTTGCTCCACGTTGACGTCGCTACGAAGCCCAGCCCTTCGCTATGTCAGGGAAGCCTGGCGACACCGATCGGATGCAACTCCTGGGAGGTCAAATTCTGATTTTGCCCGGGCCCGAAATCCGGCTCAACCTGGCTTCATCCGGCTTCATCCGGCTCAATCCCGCTCAATCCCGCCTGATCCCGCTTGATCCGAGGCCCACTTTGGCGTAACAGCCCCCCAATGGGGCTTAATCCTCCCTTGAACGAAGGATTGCAAAAAAACGAAGGATTGCAAAAAAACCCAGGATTGCAAAAAAACCCTAGGATTGCAAAAAACGAAGGTTTTTTTGCAATCCTTCGTTTTTTTGCAATCCTTCGGGTTTTTTTGCAATCCTGGGTTTTTTTGCAATCCTTCGATCCTTCCGATGACAACCTCCCAGCAGCTGCCTCCCAACGAGGACCTCTACCGGGGAGCACCTCGGCGCTGCCTCCCGCGGCGCTCCTGGGGCGCCCCCGCGCCCCGGTGTTTTGGGGGGTGTCGAGGCCGCCCCGGTCTGCTCGAGAGATTGCCAAAACAAATCAGGATTGCAAAAACAAAAACCCTAGAACGAAGGATTGCAATCCTGTTTTTTTTGCAATCCAGTTTTTTTTTTTTTGTTTTTTTTTTTTTTGCAATCCTAGGGTTTTTTTGCAATCCTTCGTTCAAGCAGTGCCGAAGCGTCCTGGTTTATGATGCTCCAACCTACTTCAGCCTTGATCACCAGAAAGAACTTCGAGCGCCCAAAAAAGTACCGAAACTCAGGGGTTGAGCGACGTATGTTTAATTCGTTTGTTGTCGGGCTGCCTTTCCGAACACGGTAGGAAGGGTTCAGGTGATACATCCAGGCTTGAACCGCGCCCCTTGGACTCTTGATTCTCTGCTGCACCTCGGACTCCTCTCTATCGAATCGGCCCATCCCGCCACTGAGCCTGGGTTGTGAGTGTGAAGCCTATTGGATGTCCGGTGGGATTTCGAGGGTGACCTTTAGGGAGCCTCTTGGATGCAGTTTTGAGGCCTCTTGGGGGCAGTTTTGGAGCCTCTTGGGGTCGCTGTTGGGTCCCTTGGGCGCCTCTTGGAGCCTCTTGGAGCCTCTTGAGTGCCTCTTGGGGCCTCCTGGGGGCCTCTTGGGGCGGAGCGCTCGGATTTTCGGTTCGTGTTTCCTCTCTCGGGCCACTAATTATTGGGGCCGTCTTGGGGTCCTTTTGGGCCGTCTTGGGCGCCTCCTGGGCCCTCGAGGGCCGCCTTGGGGCCCTCTTGGAGGCCTCTTGGGCACTCCTGGGGTGGCATTGGGAGCCTCGAGGGCCGTCTGGCGTCGAGAAGGAAACACGGCGAGAGAACGTCAAAATCTTTGAAACACCGAATACAGATCAATGATTTTTGCCTCTCAGGGTCCTCTTGGGAGGCATCTTCGAGGCCTCTTGGGGCATCTCGGAGGCCTCTTGGGCCATCTTCAGGCCATTTAGGGCGTCTTGGAGCGATCTTTGGGCGTCTCGGGGCGTTCTGGGCCGCCGTGGGCCTCTTTGGGCCCTGTTGGGCCCGTTTTGGAGCCCCCATCGCCTCCAGAACGGTCACGAGAGAAACCGCGAGAAGCCCCAGGAGAAGATGTCGCGATGTGGGGTCTGGGGCTCTGAACGACTCCTCAGGCGTGATGATTGAGGTTGAGAGGATGATGGCAAGGACCTGAGGGCACGCCCACTCCGTGCCCAGAGGCACGGTGGCGGATCTACATAACCATGATAATCCGATGATCATCGTTCCGACAGGTCGCATCGCATTTCCGAGCTCCAATGGGGGAGCCGCCTGGGGGTATTTCAATTTGTTGTTGGTTCGAATTAAGGGGGGTGGCAGTGACTCGGGTTAGCGGTCGGTAGATTGGGCGAGGTGGCAAATATCATCCAGGAGCAGCAACGACCCCATCCCCGAATGGGAAAAATGGGGTTGGACAAGGACCCGCGATTGACCAACTCCGGCCCAGAAGACGGGTGGGTTTTTGAGTTAGGAGACCACATGCTAGAGGTTGTCTGGGTCGGTTTCGGCGAAGCCATCATCGGTAATTTGGGCCCTGAGATGCCGCCTGTGAGGCGGCCCGGCCGGTCTCGAGACATCCCTGCAGTTATGGGCTTCGAGTTGCCCCGCGAAAGATCGTCCAGCCCATTTCTCTTCGGCTTCTTCGCCGCTGTCATGAGGCGGTCCAGCTTTTTTGGCTTGAAACATCCTCTCAGAGCAATCTTCGCCCGGTGCATCCTCGTTATTCTGGATTAGTCGATGCTCTTGCAGCACGATATCAGATCCCGTTCCTCGCTGCTCTGGGCTCGCAGTTGCTTGAGATCTCATTGCCACTCCGGGTTTATGTACGTCTTATGTCCTCACCTCATGTGGTCCCGATTTTTTTCGCCTGAGACATCGTCGGGATTGTGTTTTCGGGGATGCCCAGACCTGAGGTGGTTCAATCAATTTCGCCCGAGATCTCACATTTCTGGGCTCAAAGATGTCCTGTCAATTTGTGTCACTTTTCAGTGGACACTCGGGAGACTGGAACACTCCTTGTTCCCAGTAGCAAATCTGTCAATCGGGGCCACTTGTCAAATGGGCGAGGGTAGCTGGGCATTGCATGAGGTGGGCTGCCCGTCGATTTCACACACTATTCACCCAAAGGGGTGGGCGGACTTCCTTGTCCTTGCCTTCGATGCTGTGTGGCACTTCGTCGGAGGGTAGGCCCGACGTTGCCCCATCAGCCAGAGCAGTACTGCTACTGAACCTCGCCTTGCCTTTGCGCAAAAAAGAAGTGATATCACATCGCCTTCAAGGCCGGCTGGCTCGAAAGTCATGGGGCGTTGCGTGAAGTTCAAGGGAGGGGTCAGTGATATGCCAGCACCAAGCTTGGCCATGCCTTCCATGGCCTTTCGCCAGCTGCCCCTGAGAGGCTTGGCCAACTTAGGAGCTTCGATTCCTGGCCGATCCGACTCTTGGGCTCCAGTTTCGGAGAGCTGGCGCAGCGCGCCCATGAAAAAAGTGCTGACGCTCTGACTCTTTCGACGCTCCTGACGCTCTTGACGCTCCTGACGCTCCTGACGCTCCAGGCGTCAGAGCGTCAGGAGCGTCAGGGGCGTCAGAGGCGTCAGGGGCGTCAGGATCGTCAGAGCGTCAAGAGCGACAGGAGCGTCAAGAGCGTCGGGGGCGTCAGGAGCGTCAGGGAGCGTCAGGGAGCGTCAGGGAGCGTCGAGGGCGCCGGAGGGCGTCAGGAGCGTCAGGAGCATCACAGCGTCAGGAGCGTCAGGGGCGTCAGGAACGTCAGGAGCGTCAGGAGCGTCAAGAGCGTCAGGAGCGTCAGGAGCGTCAGGGGCGTCAGGGGCGTCCACCACTTCGGCGCCGCCGCTCGAGACATCCTCACAACTCTGGCGCCGCCGTTCGAGACATCCTCACAACTCCGGCGCCGCCGCTCGAGACATCCTCACAACTCTGGCGCCGCCGCTCGAAACATCCTCACAACTTCGGCGCCGCCGCTCGAGACATCCTCACAACTCCGGCGCCGCCGCTCGAGACATCCTCACAACTCCGGCGCCGCCGCTCGAGACATCCTCACAGCTTCGGCGCCGCCGCTCGAGCGTCAGGAGCGTCAGGGGAGTCAAGAGCGTCAGGAGCGTCAGAGCGTCAGGGAGCGTCAGGAGCGTGGGCGTCAGGAGCGTCAGGAGCGTCAGGGAGCGTCGGGGACGCCAGGAGCGTCAGGAGTGTCAGGAGCGTCAGAGTGTCAGGAGCGTCAGGAGCGTCAGGAGCGTCAGGAGCGTCAGGAGCGTCAGGAGCGTCAAGAGCGTCAAGAGCGTCAGGAGCGTCAGGGGCGTCCACAATTCTGGCGCCGCCGCTCGAGACATCCTCACAGCTCCAGCGCCGCCGTTCGAGATAACCTCACAACTCCGGCGCCGCCGCTCGAGACATCATCACAACTCCGGCGCCGCCGCTCGAAACATCCTCACAACTCTGGCGCCGCCGCTCGAGCGTCAGGAGCGTCAAGGGAGTCAGGAGCGTCAGGGGCGTCAGAGCGTCAGGAGCGTCAGGCGAGCCAAGGGCGTCAGGGGCGTCCACGACTCTGGCGCCGCCGTTCGAGACATCCTCATAACTCCGGCGCCGCCGCTCGAGACATTCTCACAACTCTGGCGCCGCCGCTCGAAACGTCCTCACAATTCGGGCGCCGCCGCTCGAGACATCCTCACAACTCCGGCGCCACCGCTCGAGTGGGATGGGTGGATGGAGGGAGCTGGATGGAAGGAGTGAGGAGGAGGAGGAGGAGGAGGAGGAGGAGGAGGAGGAGGAGGAGGATGAGGAGGGGGAGGAGGGGGATGGGGGAGGAGGACGAAGGGTAAGAAGCGGATGGGGACTTTTTTAGGCCAAACTCTCGATCGACATATTTGACAAGTTAATTGTGACGCGACTTGTACCAGAGCAGGTCGTGGTGATGTCCCGTACGACGCGCTCGATTGGCATCCCCGACTCCCCTGCATTCAGAGCACCACTCGGGGGCCCTCGTCGTTACGGCTGGATTCGCTTCTAGCTTACACCACATAGCTTCATCACGGTGGACATAGCTTACACCACGGTGGGCGCGGCCCTTGGCGGCCAATATCCAGTCCTATTGGCTGACGTCGGGTGCTATTTGCTGCTGTCGGCTCCCGGCGGCCACACTCGGCTGCTATACGAGACTGCAGGCTCATATCAAAACTACCGAGTGTTAAACCCAAGGTGAAGAGGGGGAAGACATAAGGAGCATCCTCATCGATCTTCCTCTTCTTCCTCCGGTTCTCTTGCTCACGCCATTCCCTATCCCGTTACTCATTCGTCTCATGCTGCTCTACGTGTTCCACCTAGCCTTCCTCGTCCTTTCCGATGCTGCTTTTCATCATCGCCCTTTTCGGATGTTCCTCGTGCTGCTCCTCGTCATCGCCTCCTCGGTATGATGCCCCCTGTCCTTCCCTCCTCTTGTTGCTTTTCATGTTGTCTTCCGCATCTCTTCACCCCCGATCGTTTTACTCGTGCTGCTTTTCTCCCTTTGTCTCCTACTTGTCCTCCTCTCCGAAGCGGTGGCTCAAGATGACACGCTCTCGGTGCGAGGGCTCTGCAGATTGTCCGCGTTACACCACGTGCCGTGCCGAGGGCGGACGCCCCGCGTGTTCAGAGCACGGCGGGGTGTCAAGACGGGGCCGACGGGACCGCCAGGCTGAGGCCCCAGCGTCTGCCTCCCGAGCGTTTCCACCAGAACCAACAGGGTCCGCCAGCGAGCGTGGGAGCCACGTCGGATTCGGATTGTTCCGATGTTGACAGCGAGCAAGACCAGGCACACGATGAGGACACCCGGGAGCCTACGTCATGGACGGGCGGCGGCGATCCAGGAGACCAGGCTGAAGGCGGCGCCGACCGAGGGGCAGGTCATCGGTTGGAGCATCAAGCATGAATAAGCCGCGCAAGAAGGCCGACCGCGCTCGACGGGCCCTGGCCCGACGGAGATTTCGGGCGGAGTTGCCATCGTCGTCCAGCGTCGCGCACTTCCGTGTTGGGCGGCTCTGGGGGAGCCCTGCTGCAGCTCGGTCACCGAGTGGCCATCCGTCGGGCCAGCGCGGTTTTCCCTGGCAGCCTCTTCGCGATATCGATCCACCTGGGTGCGAAGGGGGGCCTGGGGGGGCCAGTGAACAGGAGGCTCTTGCAGGGCCTAGCGGTGTTCCTCCTGGGCCGGGAATCCCATGAGCGATCCTGGGCCACTGGAAGTGCGCGCCAGCTGAGCTGTCGAAGTCGGGCCGGCTCAACGCGTCTACGGGCGCGATCTCCATGCCCAGGTCGGCCGCGCGTTTCGTGAAGGACACGGGCGGGGGGGCGGGTTCAAGAGCGGGTCGCTGTCGAGGGGGGGCTCGATTACTGCGCGGGGGCAGAGATCCTGAGGCGCTGTGTCCGCAAGGTCGCGGCCTTGGACCCGGCCCTTTTTGTCGCTCCGCGCGCCCGCGGTCGCCGCGCGCGGGGGCCGCTCGGGGGAGGTCTTGCTCGGGGCGGCCGAGATGTTCAAGACGTTCCCATGTGGGGCCCATCATGGGCCCGCGCTCGGCACCGCGCAGCGCCGACTGGAGTCTGGGGCCCGACGAGGTCCCCGACGGTATTCCTGGAGCTGTTCGGGAGTGGTTTCACAATCCGGAGGCGCGGCTAGGGGCGTATCGCGACGTGCCCAATGACCAGCGCGGAGCTCTCATATGTCGTGGGACGGGCCTTCAGACGTCCGCGGCGCCCTGGGCAGACTCTCTCGGATCGGGGGGCCTGCGGGTGCTTCGGCCCGTCGGTTGCGATTTGGATGGCCCTTCAGAGTGCGGCCACTCGGGGGCCCGAGCTGTCCGAGGGATCTTCGGCGCGGGAAGGTCGGGGCGCGGCCTGGCGGCGGGCCAGTGCTGCGCAGGACATGGCGGGGGTCGCGTTCGCAGCGGGCCCCCGCGCCCTGCCGAAGCAGCAGGAAGGCGTGGAACGCCCGAGCGAGCAGTTGTTGCGTGGCTTGGTCGACGGGATCAGGGGCGGCAGAGCGTGGGCCAGCGACTCGAACCGGTCCGAGCGCGCCGACTTGATTTCTTTGATAGCGAACGGCGCGCCCGAGGTGGGGGGCCTCCACGCCCGCCGGCCCCGCCGCGGGGCCCGGCGGATCTCGAGGATCGGGGACGTGGGGCCCAGGACCTGGCCGCGGATGACGAGGCCCGCGGTGCCCCCCATGGGCGGAGGGGGAGGTTCACCGCGGAGGTTCGAGGCTCTCGGGCGTGTTGTTGTTGTTGTTGTTGCTGTGATTGATGTTGTTGTTGTTGTTGTTGTTGTTGTTGTTGTTGTTGTTGTTGTTGTTGTCGTTGTTGTTGTTGTTGTTGTTGTTGTTGTTGTTGTTGTTGTTGTTGTTGTTGTTGCTGTCTTCTTCTTCTTATTCTCATTTTTCTTCTTCTTCTTCTTCTTCTTCTTATGTATGTATGTATGTATGTATGTATGTATGTATGTATGTATGTATGTATGTATGTATATATATATACATGTATATATATATATATATATATATATATATATATAGGTCGGCGGTGTTCCAGCCTCGGGGGGGCTTTTCAGTAGCTGCGCCTTGGCGAGGGCGTTCCGGGGGGCCTTCACCCCCCAACCGCCCATCGATCGCCGATAGGGTCCCGATAGCCCACCCCGCTCAGGACCGTGCGGTTTCCTTATCGGGGGCTTATCGCCGATCTATCGGCGATGTATCGCCGATTTCTCCCCCGGAGCCGTTCCTCCGCAAACATTGCTCCCCAAAAGCCGGAGGAGGGGGAGTCGACAGTTGCCCGATGTTTCTGCTTGTCTGCTCATTATTGTCGCTGCTGTTGCTGCAGTCTGCGGTTTCTGGAGCTCATTATTTGGCCCTGGAGCATTCAACAACCAGCAGGATCAGTTCAGGCCTGATGGCCGGCGACTCGAGCATTTCGGGTCGTCGGAGGTCCAGGTCCAGGTCACCTGCAGGTGCGCCGCGATTCGCGCCTCGCAGCCAGGGCCGCAGAGCTGCTCCTGTCCCAGGGGGTGGCGCGAGAGCTGGAAGACAAGCGCGTGTCGCGCAGCGCGCATCGCGAATTGCGTGATCTGGGAGGGTGTCCGCCGCCACCAAGCCCAGGCCTCCGACGTGATTTGTTCGTCACCTGGCTCCCCAGAGGGCCCCTTTCCAGGGACGACCTTCTCACCCCGAGTAATTTTTGACGGCCGCGGGGCCTGGTAATGGGAGCATGAAAAACAATGTAGATCTGGAGGTCGGAACGCGGGGTGGTATACAGGGGCGTGGTGCCAGTGCTGGAAACGGTGATCTTGTCTAGGGTAGCCGCAAGTGCGTTGCATCCCGATGGTAACAGCTTTGGCTTTGCGCCGACATCTTTAAACTACGTCAGAA